GGGGGAAGGGGGGGGGGGGGGGGGGGGGGGGGGGGGGGCGTGCACGCCCATCTAAAGCCAAAGCGGACAACATGGCTGAAACTCCTATCCAATGCATCAATACTTTTGGTATCATCATCTCGCATTGAGATCCGCCGCCAAAAACAAGATCGCGAATTTAAAAAAAAAAAAGAATGTGCATCTCCCCCTGTTACGGGCCTCCTCACAGTGTCTCAGTGCTAGCCAGGGCTTCCGACCGCCGCCGGCCGTCCAGGAATCCCTCGTCATCGGTATTATCGGCGGCCGCGCTACCCTTCCTCTTCTTCACGCCCAGCAGGCCACTGAGCGTGTTGCTGAGACTGCGGGCCCGTCCTCGGAAGCCCCTCTCTGTCTCGACGTCGCCGCCGCCGCCGTTCTCTGACGGGTCCTCGCGGCGGAGTAGCTCGTCGGTCTCGGCGGGAGGAAACAGACTGTCCTCGTTGTCGAGCTCGTCCTGCGATACGAATAGACTAGACCGTATGCTGGGGCGGCTCCTCCGCGTCGAGGCGCGCCGCGCTGTCGGGATATCCCCCGGACCGAGCAGTTTGTCGGCCACGACGGCGCTGACCGTCGAAGAAAACGGCGATGGGGAGAACAAGTTTTGGTGATGGTGGTGTGATTGAGGACGCGCCGAGGACGCGGGCGCTCGGGGTGTCACGGGTGCCTCGTTGGGTCCGAGGATGTGAGGGAAGGTAGGGATGTTGACCTGCTGCGAAGGGGTGGCGGGAAGTGAGAACCCGTCCGAAACGGCTGCCGAGCTGAGGCCAGAGAGGGTTGCAACAGACTCAGTAGAGAAGGCGTGCTGTCCCGGCCCGGGATGGCTGGGCGGAGTACCCTGGGTGTCCCTCCAGGGATTGTCAACATCGATGAGCGAAGGCGAATCTGGGCCCTCAATGTGGCCGGAAGACCTAGCCGGTACGGTTATCGAGTTCCTGGGCGATGGCACTCCCATACCAGATAAGGCGGCGAGAGGCTTGTTCACAGCATCCTTGTATGAGGATCGGCGCGACCGGCTTTGTTCGTGGTGGTCGGAAGCTCGCCTGGGGGCCTGAGGGGAGGCAGGATCCTGCTCGAACAGGCCAATGGTTTCCTCGATGCCTTCTGCATCTGAGAGCTGGTCTTCGTCTTCGTCGTGCCGCGGGCGCCCACTAGTAATGAGGAACACGCCGAAAAACGTGAGCAGACAACCTCCCACAAACTTTACAGCCTGCTCTGCCGTCGTCCGCTCAAAGTCGCGATACAGAATGGCACTGCCGATGATGACTGACAGCGTGAACATGACGAATTGAATAGGAATGACCTGTGTCGAGTCGAATCGCTGCAAGGCCTTATTCACATAGCGCACCTGCATGACTGCAGTCGCGAGCAGGATAAAAAGGAGGACATAGGTCACGGGAGTCGTAAAAGCCCGGAACAGCGTAGACGACAACATAGATGAGACACCTTTGGTCGCCAAGACGGTGTAACCACCTAGGTTATCTGTTAGAACACAAAGAACATAGTCTGAATTGAGACTCGACCGCCCAGACTCACCGAATAGACCGACAAGGCCAAGATCTATCAAAATGGTCCTCCTTCCATATCGCGGGCTTGCCCACATCAAGAGTGCAATCAAAGAGCAAGAGATCCCCAGATAGATCTCAAACTCCATAGTGGTAATGGCATCCCAGATGTCGTGCGGCTCGAGCTTCGTTTCCTGCTGCTTGGCGCTGAGAACGACAGTGACAGCCCCGCCGATGGCAATAACGACACCCCAGAAGTCGCGCTTCCGGAAAGGCTCCTTGAAGAACATCGGTGCTATGATGCAATTGGATATCAGGGCGACGACCCCCAGCGGTGACACGATCGATGCCGGCGCAAAGCCGTAGGCAAGGAAGTTGCCCATCTCTCCGACAGTGATGAGAATCTGCCCGAGCCACCAGTACGGCGACCTGAGATATGTCCCGCTGACTTTAGGTCGGCCATCGCCGTCGTCGTCGTCGTCGTCGTCGTCGCCGGAGCGGTCAGTCCACCGCGAGTCTCCGCTCTGAAAGCTGTTGGCCAGAGGTTCGGTTTCGTCCTCCGCGCTGGCCGCATGGTTGTCGTCTCCGTTCTGATGATCACCCCTGTTCCCGCTCTCGGCCACAGTACCGTACTGCCCACCGCCGCCAGCATGCTTGAGGGCCTGCCTCGCGCGTTCCCGGGCCTGTGCCCGCTGCCTGTGCAATCGGATATGGGCGTACCGTTGGACGTTCAGAGCAAGAGCGATCAAGATATTGCCGACTATGGCCGTGACGATGCCGATGAGCGAGGACCAGTTGCTCGCGAGGTCATCGTCGGAGTCGTGACCGTGGCCGGGGTCGCTGCTGTTGGATGGCAGGAATGCGATCGAGCCAGGAAAGACGGCCTGCGACGCTGGCAGATGCATGATGGCCGTGCTCGGCTCGCGAGGCGCCAAGCTATGTAACGATGCTTCCAATCAAGGACTCGAAGTCCTCCCTGATGTAGCACACCTTGCAGTCGACGTCGAAAAGCGGATCATCGGGAGGGCAGTTTCGCTGAGCCGGTAGAGAGAGGTGCCTGCGCTCGACTACCTAGGTAGATAAGCCAAAGGGTTACTAAGCGACTGGTCGCAGGAACGCTTGCGCAAGCGGATAGTCGATGGACGGACTGCCTGGCAACCCCTCTGGACGAGTTGGATTCAGGGTCCGAATGACGGATTGCCTATGTTTTGAGGGTTGAGAATACTGGAGACGTTGCGAGGATCAAGATCTGCCTGAGGTGCCGAAGCTCGAGGATTCCGTCTCAAACTCGCTCCCACTGGCAGCTGCTCGCTCTGCAAATGCGGCGTGTCCGGGGCGCTAAGACCGGCTTAGAGAAATCTAAATTGACTGCTAAGAAGAGGAGAAGTTAGGTTGTCATTGGGCGTGAAAAACGGGGCCCTTTTCACGTCTCCAAGTTACTCCGTACACCGTAATGAAGACTGGATTCGAGTTCCGTCATATCCGTCATAACGGGGTGGAGGCGCGCACAGGAAAGCTGAGAAGAACCAGCGACAATGGTGCGCCCACAGCAGCACTGAGCTAATAAGCAGACCCGGCAGATTAGCGGGACGCGTTTCCGCCCACACGCACACCAGACACAACGCTGGCTCGGCTGGGGAGGGGGGCCCAAGGGCGCTGTGCTGCGCCAAGTGCGTCTGTCAGGTGAGACAACCACTTAGAGAGCGTGGAAAAAGTTCCATCGGTACAGGGGGACCAGTTGCTTGTGCCAGTCTACGCCGAAAGCGGGGACCGCCGGGCGATGGCGGCGGTGGCGGCCCATTGTGGTCTTATCCTCTTATCCATCTGCCCATCTCCCGGCGCTTGGCGATCTTTCAACACCCCAACATGATTTATTCCTTCTTGCGAATGCCACCACGCACCTCGACCTGCCCTTCGTGTGTGGACAGTCCAATGACCGAGTTCCTCCAACACCCAGAGTGAGCGCATGAGCAGCCTTGCCGCTTTTGATCAACATGCCCGACGACGATCCATCCAAGAATCCCTTCGTGCGCTGGAAGCACCTTGTCGATGCCCACGTCAGTGCCACACTCCATGGCCTTCTCGGCCTTCCAGCCATTGTCTCGGAGAACTTGAACCTCAACACCCGCGCCGCCGACGTCGATAACTCGAGCGCAGACCCCGAGCAGACGGCGCAGGCCAACAGTGAGATAGAGCGCGCCGTGGCTTCGAGGCTGAGGCAGCGCCCGGCTCGGATGGACCTCTTACAGAGCTTCGCATGGAGCAGCTTCTTGTTCCAGTCGCCCTACTCGCCGCTGAACCTGCAGGGCCTCCCCCAGCCAGTTCCTAACGATGCGCCACGTCACGGCGAGGGACAAGACTTTACTTTTATGGACGCCTTCGAGGACCTGCTCGAGGAGACTGCCAGTGGCCGCCTGCCGGATCTTCCCGACCGACTACGGTCGCCAGAAGAACACCAGGTTCTAAGCCGGATCATCAGACAGGAACATTTCCTGCAAAGAATGATGTCCCTCGACAAGCGGCATATCAACGCCTACTTACCACTTCCTCCAGCGGGTCAGAGCGTCGACGACTCGGAACAGGCGGCCTCTATTTTCGGCGAAGAGCAGGACGATTGGAGAGTCGAGGCGCGTAACCGTCTTCGCGACATAGCAGCAGCTCAGCAGCCAACCTTCAACTGGCCAGGCACCCTCGACAGTCCCGCCGGTCTATTTGATCAGTTTAATTCAGTCTTCAGTGTGCTGAACAAGGTACTGGAAGAGGAAGAGAGACGTCCACAAGACCCAAGCAAGGCAGACGGGCGCTTGAAGGAGTCGAGCAAAGAGGACGGGGTGGCGTCGAAAAACCAGGATCGCTTCCTCGATGCAGAACCCGATACTGAAGACGAGTTCTACAAGATCGTCAAGTCCGTCTATACGGATGCCGACAGATCATTCAGCACATTTGTCAAGGCGATTTCGGACATCAACACACGCACCGGGGTGTCAACATCATTTTCAAAATCAGTCGACCGCTTCGACGGGACAGACGATGCAGCTATTCAGACGTTTAAAGACACAAAAGAGCACACTGACAGATTCGGAAATCTGCATGTCAAGACGACGATCCGTCGGGTGAATGCTGACGGAGAAGAAGTCGCACGTGAGACGCACTACTCCGTCCGTTCGGCTTCGCAGGTGAGCGGAGATGACGAGGAGAAAAGCGATCATGTGCCACAGGAGAAAGGGGGGGGAGAGGTTGAGCAACAACAGCAGTCCGGTTGGTTCTGGAAGTGACTTTAGCAATGCGATTCGGAGTCCCGTGGCGTTCACAATTTGTCGGCGGGCATAGGATGCTGGCGTTCTTGGAGATTCTCTGTATTCATTTCGCGCATTTTGCGAACACGATCTCATGATACATCATACCAGCTTAGCCGCTCTTTACACAAGAGAAACACCTGTATATAGGGCATATCATAGCAATTTTCAAAAGTACTAAATCATCGTCAAGACTATCAGCAAGGACGGTCTGGGTATTGATCAATACTGCTATATACCACAAGCAAAAAAAAAAAGCAAAACGCCATGTAATGCTAGGACTCTTCCGGGTCTGCAATTAACACCATTTTTGAACCATTCAAGATCCACGCGACTGCGCCTTCTTCTTGCGCATCATGCGCTTCCTCCCGATGATCTGCTGTCTCTGGGCAAGTTTGGCCGCAGCCTTGTTCTCCTTCTTGCTGCCGACTTTCTCTTCCGAGGTCTTCTCCTTCTCTCCGCGAGCTCTGGATCCCCTGCCGGCCCCAGTCTTGCCCTTTCTGTCATCCTTGTCTCTTCCGCCCCGACGGGGACCGCCAGCACCAGTGTCCCGGCCCTTGCTTTCGCCAGTGGCCTCACGATTCCTCGACTTGTCTTCAATTGCCCGGCGCCTTTGGACAACATTCACGTTCTCAATAGCAAACTCAACGATGAGGCGCGAGGTCTTGCCCGCATCATTCTTGAGGGCATGCCCGTTGAGCCATCGCAGGCCCATGAGCGCCCATCGATGAGAGGAGTACTCGATGAAGCCATACCCACGGCTCTTGCCACCAATCTCTTCGGAGACCTTGGAGCCGTCCTTGGTCTCAAAGACAACCTTTGCCTGCTTGACGACACCCTTGCCCTTTTCCTTACGGCGGTGCTCGGCCTCCTTGTCCTGCTGACCTCCACGGGCGTTCTCCTCCTTGGACAGCGGCTGGCGCTTACCCTCCTTAACATCTTTGGCAAATCCGACCACAGCCTCTCGTGCCAACGCCTTGAGGGCCTTGGAGTCGACGTTGCGGGGGATATTGCGCACTGCCAGGCGAGTCAAACTCAAGTGGAGGCTGGGATTGTTCTGAACCAGCTTCTTTCGCTGCATGTTGGATGTCTCGCGGAGCTTGATTTCCGACTCCGGCAGGATGTTGTAGAGAGGCGAGTTCCTAGCCACTGTGCCTTCGGACAAAAGATACAGTCGTCTTTTATCCTTTTCATTGCGAAGAGCAAGGCTGGTTGTTGCTAGTCTCTCAGCCTCGTTCTTGTTGACAGCTTGTGCGACCTGCAATACTCTGCCCTCCATGGTATACCGGCCATCGTGATCGACGTCTTCGTTCTGTAGGATGGATGGCTTTCCGGCCAACGAAGTAGGGTTGTGACGAGGTGCAGACTTGAGACACGCTTGCGAGTCGTCAAGATTGAAAAAGCACACGAACCCTGTGCCAGCTGGTCGGTCGGTCTCGCGATCCTTGACTACTCTTGCATACCTTACGGCGCCAAATTGGCCGAAATGGCTCTTCAGATCCTCGTCCGTGGTGGTGAAAGGGAGATTTCGAATGAACAGGGTCGTTGAGTTGTCTGTCGAAAGTGACTTGGTCTCTTTGGACGCCTCCTCGTCGTCATCGTCAACCTTGCCACCAGTCTCGTCCTCTTCGTCACTCTCTTCGTCTTCGAGGTTCTCCATATGATTCTTCATAAAGTTGCGAAGATCAGCGTCTTCTTCATCCTCTTCGTCGTCTTCCTCCTCTTTGTCCTCGTCATCATCGTCCTTACTGGGCTTCTCTGCACCCTCTTCAGTCTCTGCAGGCTCGTCTGGTTGGTCCTTTTGCTGTTGCTCCCAAGTCTGCTTATCGACAGCCCAGTCGACAGCAATAGGCCTCCCGTCGACAACTTTGCCATTGACCGCCTCCATGGCCTTCTCTGCATTCTTCCTTCCGCGCATAGTGATGAACCCAAAACCCTTGAGCTTGCCCTTTACGCTAGGAAGATCTGCGTATTTGACTTTGCCGTGCATCCGGAAGAGGTTAGTCAGATCCTCGGGGGTCTTGACACTCCAAGGAAGATTCCTGACTATCAGCTTCGGAGCCTTGCGAGCTTCTGCCTGTTCGTCCTCCCGCTTCTTCTTCTCTTCCGCGAGCTTAGAGGTAGCCGCGTTGGCTCCATCCTTGGCCCCGGCGCGATGACGGGGTTCGGCAACCTCCAGTCTCAGCCTGCGACCCTCGAGTAGTTCATTGTTGAGCTTGTTCTTGGCCTCCACTGCATCGTCTGCGTCGGCAAAGGTCACGAAACCATAGCCACGGGATTGCTTGGTCTCTTTGTCCAGAACCACTGTAGCGTGCTTGACCGGATAGTGTTGAGAGAAGAACTCGGTGAGCGTCTCGGCTGTGGCATTGGGTGGCAGCGACCTCACGAAGAGGGACCTCGCTTCCTCGACCCGAGCCTTCTTGGTCGGCGGCGTGCCTTGAGTGGCATTTTCTACCACCTGGTTCTCCTGAGCGGCCTCGGCCTCTCGGCGTCTCTTTTGTGCCGCAGATTTGGCCATTTTGGTCGCACGCAAAAGCAATTGCGTCTCGAATTGGTGGTCCGTAATTGAAGTCAACTTCCACTAAATCTTGGCTGCTGCCAAAATCTTCGTCTCGCCCCAAAAAATTATTGGAGGAATCGCTATCGATAAGCCGTCAATCTTATCAACACGTGTGGTGCGGGGGACCAACACAATAGTGACAATGTTCCAGGGCGCTGTTCCGCTAACCCGCTTTGGGAAATCTATCAACAAACAAGTCGGGGGGTGATGATAGATGGATTTGTACGTACCGGTTATGGGCGTCCCGATCTAAACACCATCCAAATCGCATGCGACCGTAGAAACCGACGTATTTTGCGCATCGCGGAGCGCGTATTTCTATGACCCGTTAAACATCTCTATTAGTGTTATACCATGCCTGCGCGCACTTCGACCAGGTCGACGCGGACCTCCTCCGCTGCCGTCTCCCACAAGTCGTCGTCCGCGACGCTCAACCCGCGCACCTCGACCGCGTCCAGAGCCTCGTCCGCCACCTTCGATGCGCCCCTTGACACGCCGGAGAATGCTCTGCGCACACAGATTGCTTCAGTCTTCCGGGACGCGCAAAAGAACACCGCGTCTCACCGAAAGCTGGCGGTGACCTTGCGCAAGATCCAAGAGGCCTGCAGCTACGAGCCGACAAGCGCCAACAAGACGGGCGCGTCCGATTTTGAGGAAGATGACTTCAACAACGAGTTTGCGCGATGCGTGCTTCGCGCAATGCCAGTCAAGAAGACCGAGAGCGTGGGAGAAAAGACTATCCGCTTCATTGGACTCTTCTTGCGACACTCCATCGACAAGGACAACGAGCTCATGGGCGAGGTAGATGAAGATGCCAGCACCATGCCCGAGACCCCAGGAACGCGCCTGACTGGGCACCTCGTCGACACAATCATCCCCCTCCTCACTACAAAGGACAAGTTTGTACGGTACAGGGCAACGCAGCTCATCTCTCACATCATCAACTCGCTCGACGCTATCGATGACGACCTCTTCCAGAAGCTGAGGCATAGCCTCCTCAAGCGCATTCGCGACAAAGAAGCCATGGTCAGGGCTCAAGCTGTTCTCGGTCTTGGCCGCCTTGCGGGTAACCAGGTAGACGAGGAAGGCAATTCTGACGACAGCGACGGCGGCGCTGGCACCGGCCTGCTTGACAAACTTCTTGAAGTCCTTCAGAATGACCCGAGCGCTGATGTGCGGCGGTCACTGCTGGTCAATCTACCTATACTTCCGACCACGTTGCCCTATCTACTTGAGCGTGCTAGAGACCAAGACGCAGCCACTCGTCGCGCAGTATATTCACGCCTTCTTCCTGCCCTTGGAGACTTCCGTCATTTGTCGCTTTCTATGAGAGAGAAGCTCTTGCGGTGGGGTCTCCGAGATCGAGATGAGAACGTCCGCAAAGCGGCTGGCAGACTCTTCCGCGAACGCTGGATCGAGGACTGTGCCGGCGCGCCGCCTCTAAACGAAGACGGCAAGCCGGCCGAGGCCCTTCCACCAAACTTTGATGCACTTCTGGAGCTTCTGGAGCGTATCGATGTTGTCAATTCTGGAGTCGAGAACGGTGTGGCCCTCGAAGCTATGAGGGGCTTCTGGGAGGGTCGCCCTGACTATCGCGATGCCGTCACTTTTGACGACAACTTTTGGGAGACTCTATCAGCAGAATCGGTCTTCATGGCGAGGAGTTTCAATGAGTTCTGCCGCAACGAGGGCAACGGCAAGTACGAGTCGCTTGTCGAGGAGAAGCTGCCCGAGGTGACCAAGCTGGCTTTCTTCCTGGAGCGCTACATGAAAGTTTTGATTGATGCCATTAAGAGGGCTGATCAACAAGATGCTGACGAAGAAGACGAGGAAGAAGACACTGTCGAGCAGGAATTCATCGCGGAACAGCTCCTCCAAATTGCGCTGACTCTGGATTATTCGGACGAGGTCGGACGCAGGAAAATGTTTGCCCTTCTCCGACGATTCCTGTCGATCCCCGAATTGCCGGACGAAGTCACCAAGCTTACCATCGATGTGCTGCGCGATATCTGCGCTCCTGATAATGCCGGCGAGCGCGAGTTTTGCAGTATCGTCCTCGAGGCTGTTGCCGACGTGCATGACACTATTCTCGACGACATGGATAGTGCTGATGCGGAGGACAGCTTCCACTCAGCAAGGTCCGAGGTCAGCAGCGACAGCACGCCCACTAAGAGTGGCAAGTCCAGCAAGGGCCCCGAGCTGAGCGAGGAGGAGGCACGCGAGAAAGCCATCAAGGAGATCATGATCAACATGAAGTGCCTGCACATCGTTCAGTGTATGCTGTCGAATGTTGGGGGCAGTCTCCAGCAGAACGACCATCTTGTGTCGATGCTGAACAACCTCGTCGTGCCAGCAGTCAGGAGTCACGAAGCGCCTGTCCGTGAGCGCGGCCTGGTGTGCCTCGGCCTGTGCTCGCTCTTGGACAGGTCACTGGCCGAGGAGAATCTCACACTCTTCATGCACTTCTTCAGCAAGGGTCATACCGCCTTGCAAATCACCGCGCTCCAGATTCTCACAGACATCCTCAATACTCACGGTGCCCAACTGCTCTCTACCACACCAGCGCTTGTCAAGGTCTACGTAAAGGCTTTGCGATCCGGCGCCAAGTCTCCCGAGGTACAAGCTGCCGCCACAATTGCGGCTTCCAAGCTCCTCCTGGGACGTGTTGTCACGGAGCAAGAGACCTCTGCCGAGCTGCTGAAGACTCTTGTGGTGGCCTACTTCGAGCCCTCGAGCTCCGGCAACCAGAGCGTGAGGCAGGCGCTGAACTATTTCCTGCCCGTCTTCTGCTACTCGCGTGCAGAGAACCAACAGCTCATGAGATCAGTCGCTCTCGATGCGCTGCACACCCTCTACAACATCCGCGAAGGTCTCGAGGACGATGATGCCGATGTTGATGACGAGATGGTCAGTCTCACGACCATTGGCGCTTGTCTCGTTGACTGGACCGACCCGCGGAAGTGCTACTCTCCCGGCCTTTCCCTGGATGCCGAGAAGAAGAATGTCAATGGCGATGTCCACCTTGATTTTGCCAATGACATACTAGAACGACTTGATAGCCACATCAGCAGTAAGTGCCACCTCCGCTCATACCAAACACAAAAGATCAAATGTTAACAAACTCGTTTGCAGAGGAGGAAAAGAAGATTGTCGCCGGGCTCTTCGGCAAGCTCTACGTCTCACCGGCCTCTACCGAGGAGAAGATCCGAACCCTCTACGCCGACGTCTCGGAGGCAGTCGATAACCAGCTCGTGGCCGATACCACCGGCCGGAATGCGTTGTACAAGATCCACGTCAGCCTCGGCAAGATTGTGAACAACCTGGACCAGGCGGCGGCGCAGCACGAGGGCTTCGGCAGGAGAAGCGTCAGCAGCCGCGCCACGTCTGTCGCCCTGGAGGAGCGGACGGTCGTCGAGGACAAGACGGTGGTGCACGAGGCAGACATCAAGGAGGAAGAGGAGGGGGATGGAGAGGAGCAGCAAGAGGAAGACGGTGAAGGCGATAGCAACGAAGGCACCGTCATCCAGAAGGGCGACGAGGACTCGCTCGTCGAAGACCTGCTATCGGAAGAAGAAACGTGATCGAGAGGAGTGAAACGGACTTTCTTTGTATTTTCGAGGCAAACGTGAACAGGGAACTATACTGTATAATGTGCATTCTACATCTTCTGTTTTTGGTGTGCGACACACTGCACGGGGGAATACGGCTATCTTGCGCTTGTTTTCTCTTTCGCTCTATTACAAATGAATCTACCTTCTTCCGCTTTGCTCCCGTCTACATATCTGTGTCTTTCACACCCGTTGTGGGGGGAAAAAAAGAGAGAGAGGAAAAGCACTTCTCAGCGCGTGCCGAGCCAGAACAGGACGCCTCCGAGCCCGAGGTTGACGCCCAGGTGCATGCACAGGCTCCACGCCATGCAGTACAGGTACTTTGGCGAGAAGACGGTCCAGACGAAGAGGTGGGTGCGCAGCACGGTGCAGGCGGCCATGACGGACGCGGCGCCCGCGGCCGCGAAGACGGTCAGCGCGCAGGCGTGGCGCAGGAAGACGCGCGGCTCGCCGCCGCCGCCCCGGGCCCGGCGCACGAGCAGCGCGTTGGCCGCGAGGGCCCAGTAGATGGGCGCGGCCCAGTTGCCGACAAAGGTCAGGAGGCCGACGGCGGCGACGCTGAAGCCCGAGACGCCGTTGTAGGCGCTGCTGAGGTCGACCGAGGAGATGGCGTTTGTGCCGCCGGCGGCGAAGAAGGAGGCGTGCTGGAGCAGGAGCACCGCGGCCGAGAGCGCCGGCAGGGCGAGGTCCTGCGCCGCGAGGAACTTGTAGACGACGTCGGAGACGAAGAAGAGGGGCACGTTGGTGGCGCGGGACTGGGTCAGGGCCAGGAGGGTGTAGAGGTGGTGGAGGGTCTGGGTGGCTGCGGTGGTTGAGTACGTACGTGTGTTAGTCAACGGGAGGAGGGTGGTTTTGGATCTCTTGTATTGCAGGGTTGCGTGTGTATGTGTGCTTACTGGTTGCTTTATTGGACAGGGGCCGCCGGGATAGCAGAGCTAGGAGCACGCCACCTGTCGCCACGCCCAGGCCGATGAACACGGCGCGGGCGCGGGCGACCAGTGTGGCACCTTGTGTCAGGGCGATGAGGGTGTCGGGGATGCCCCGGAGGAGCTCTGGCGAATCCTCGTGCGTGAAGGCCAGCTTGAACGTAAAAGCGGCGAGGACAAGGCCGGTCGAACCCATGACATTGACAAGCATCGGAATATTGCCGAATCCGCGGACGAGCTCTCTATGGATCCAGAGGTAGGTGATGCACACGAGCGTCCAGAGCAGCAGCGGGTTGGGGTGGAGAAAGGTCTTCACGAGGTCGGGCTCACCAGCGAACTTCTGGCCGGTCTGGTTCCAGCTCCTGATGATGCGGAAGGCAGCAAAAGCCACGATGAGGGACGATATGTGGCTGACTCTGGACTTGACTGGGCTGTCGGGCACGTTAGTCGTTGGCATTTGCAAGTGAAGAGGGTCGACGAACCGGTTGAAGCCATTGAACGCGATGGAGGCGAGCCATGCGCTGGTTGCCCAATACCAAAAGTGCTGTTCCTCTTCCACATAGCTGCTGGCAAACATCATGATGCTGTAGAGCAGGCTGATCAGAGCCAGGGAGGAGTATGCGCCGGCGCTGTCTCTCGCAGAGAGATATGTAGCGAACACCGAGCAGACTATGGCGCCGAAAGCCAATGCCTGGCCGAGGATAATTCTAGGCATATCATAGTTGCTGGCCATGCTGCTCATGATGTTCTGAGCCCTTCTGAGCCACTTTTGGAACGTTAGCCAAGGGTACGACTGGCTAGGTACGGATGCCACTTACATTCGATGCCCGGGGTATCCATTCCGCATTGTCTTCGGCCGACTGGGCTGCTGCTTTGGCTTGATTAGCAATGGCTTGCCAGTCGCAGGCGAGCTCGTCGATATCATCGGTCAACGTTCTACAGTCTTCGACCTGCGCAGCGGCGGCGAAACGCTCCTTGCCAAAGCTGGCTGTGATAATGCCAAGGATTTGCTCGGCGTTTCGCATGAGCAACTGAACCCGGTCCTCTTCTGTCATCGGAATTAGTGCTGTGGCATAGCTCTCGGTTGGCAGCTGTGAACTCACGCTTCGGCCACAAGGGCAGGAATCCTGAAATGAACGCCCCGAGATTGTTCTTCGGCGTCGGGAACCCCAACAGGCCACCCAGTGTAGGAGCGAGATCAGACTGTTCAATGGTTGAGTAGAATTGAAAGTCCTCGCGGTCCTCCAATGGGACTTCAACTTTGTCGGTGAGTGTCGAGAGCTTTGGCGACATAAAGACAAGTGCGGGAGACGTCTCGCCAGCGGAGGAGGCCCCGTGGTTACCCGCATCATTCATGCCGTGGTCCCCGATGAGGATCAGCAATGTGGACTGGAGATGCTTGTAAGAGGATATGGCAGTATAAATCTCCTTAACAATGCCATCCATTTCGTGCTGCTTGGGCACCATATTTGGGCTGGACGGCCCATTAGTAAACAATTCAAGCTGAAGAGCCTCGCCATCTCACCTTCGTGGACCTCCCTTGTGCCCAATATGATCCAGTCCCAGATAATGAAGAACCAGAGTGTTCCAGTCGTCATTCTTGAGCTCGTCCGTGATATGACGGGTGACATTGTTGTCAACCTCTGTGTAATCCTAGGTTTAGTCAGCGTCTCTCTCCTTTCCCTGTACTTGAGAAAGTCCCCTTGAGCTTACAGCAACAAAGAAACTGGAAGTCCCGTCTGCCCGGTCGAACGTCTCGGGAAACAGCTTCAGCCAGGTGTCGTCACCGTATAGCACGAGCTTGCCCGAGTCCTTGGCCTTCATCTGCGCAAGCCACGTGTCTTGGCTCGCCAGCGAAGACGACTTGTCGCCCTCGTCGACGTTGAGAATGACATCGAGAAACGATGGGATGGACCCAGTGGTGATCGCCTTGATGCGCGGCATCGTCACCGTGGGCGAGGTGGCGTGCGCTGTGAAGGGCAGGGCCGCTCCATCTCGGATCAAGCTATAGAGCGTCAGCCTGAAATGTCGCATAAACCTGTACTGTCCAGCACTCCGCCCTAGGAGCTGGGAGGCCACCTGAAGTAGTGCAACCTACGATTGGGTAAACTGAAAGCCCGAGTTGGCAGTGTACACAAAGTCACTCCTCAGAGCGTCGACGACCATGAAGACGACACGGTCGAACGGCGCTGCCGGGGCCGAGGCGCCGTAGCTCGAGTCCTCATAGCGCGCCAGGCCCGGCAGCAGCGGCTTGTAAGGGAAGAAGCCAGTAGCAAAGGTCAGGATGGCAGCCGGGATCAAGAGGTTCGCAGCGACCAGCAACAGGGTCGCCAGCGACGAATCCTTCTGAGCCGGCTTCATTTTGCTCGCGGACGCCTTTCAAGCAAGATCTCCTCGACAAACAAGCTAAGGCGCGTTGTCTGTAAATAAGGGGTTTCAGCTCTTGGTGCAGGCTTATATGCTACCTCTTGTCAGAGCCATTGCACTGCGATGAATGTCAGAACTTCCACATCTGCACGCGATCTAAGTCAAGATTTGTCGAGAAACTCACTGCCAAAGATGTCACTGCCGTTTATACATCCACTGATGCTCCTCGCGATGAGATGGAACTACGATCTCAACAAGGTGGAGGGTCCCGTAAAGACACATAATGCGCCAGGGATCCATTAATTCCGGGCTTTAGTGGACCCGTGCGCTATCCGTGGAAGGTGCTGAGTCCAGGGGAGCGGGTTAAGCTTAATCTTACCATCGAGTCGACGGCGCGGCCTAGATGTGAACAGAGCACATAGAGATCTTCGTCTCTACGGCTCATACGTACAATACAACCATGGTTATGAATCATTAGAGAATCCAATTTACCAGGATCTATAGGCACAACACCATCTACACTGAATGAAACCAAGCTGATGGACCTGTAAAGGGAAGACCTCTCCAAAACCAAGTACAAGTAAAGCGCAGACCCACCCCGAATCCCTCTCCTGTCGCTTGCGCGACTCTCTTTCTTCCCTCTCGGAAAATGCTGCATACATAGGTTACACACCTTAATCCTTACAAAAATGTACTAGTATTCAAGCCCGCCTCCAAAGCTGCTGTTTCGCACGAGTTGGGCGCGCTCCATGCTGCGGCGCGGGGGCTCGTCGTACTGGTGTCCGCTGTGGGCGGTGCCGGGCCTCGAAGCCTCGCCTTCCTCCGCGTCCCCAATCGGGTCTCCCGACACGGGAGGGTTGTCTTCGATGCGGTGGATGAACCAGGCCGAGAGCAGAACGGTGATGCCGCCGAGCGCGAGGACAATGGCAATACTGTGGTCGCCAGGGGTGCCGCGCGGCTTCTGGAAGATCTTGAAGATGATGCTCGATCCGACCGTGGCGATGATCTGCGGCGCTGCGATAGACATGTTGTGGATACCCAGGATGACGCCGGCCTTGTCCGATTCCTCCTCGACCACGGTTACATCATGGCCCTCGTCAGAGTAGCCGTCGATAGTGGGCAAGTCGTCATCATGGCGGCTTGGAGACGCTGCGCGCTTCTGCGCACGAAGAAGGGCATCGCGCTTGCTGATTTCAGCACTGATGATCGCCCACGGCGCCCAGAGAGTCAAGGCCCAAGTGATGCCCACCAGCCCAATCAGGACGGTGGCAGCAGCAACAGTCCGGACAAAGACAGTGAGGGACATGCTGAAGAAGAAGAGTATCTGCGAATACATCCACGCACGACGCAGAGTGAAACCGGGAATCACAAGATAATCGAGCCAGGACTTGCCGCGCTCCCCAAGATCCTTGATAGAGGTGGCGGGACCCTCTCCTGCTACGTCGGTGATGGGCAGTGGCTGTGTGTCGAAACTGGGGGCGATGAGGAATGGCAGGAAGAGATTGGTGGCGAGACTGGTTATCGAAAAGATCAAGAGGGCGAAGGTGCCGACTCGAGTTGCCTGTTCGTACAGCTTGTCCAATTCTTCAGGTGTCATATTTGGGTTCTCTTCCAAGAAGGGCTCCACATAGATCTCGCCGATGTACGACGAGGTATAGAAGAGCATGGGAAAGAAGCCAACCCAGGCGCAGAACTGGACAATGCAGACCTTCTTCGTCTGCGGCGGGAGACGCTTGATAGACTTGAAGATCTTGAGAAAGAATGACAAGACGCCGGGTTGGTCACGAGGCGGCGGGCCATCACCGCGTGGATCTCGCTCTCGGATGAAGACAATGCTGATGATGATTGTGATGATGAGACCAACGCTGGCGATGGCGCAGAGGTCTTTGAACTGAGTGTCTCCTAGAAAGCCAACGATCTCTGGCAGGTTGATGTAACCAGCAACGTAGCCAATGATGTTGCCGACGCCCGTCATGCGACTAGCCATCGAGTTTGCAGCCTCTGTATCAGTGTTAATAGATGAACATGATGGCTGGAGAGGTATTCTCGAGACTGACCTTGTTGGTGAGGTGGAGCACAGTCAAGGATGAAGGCACGAATAGCTGCCTGAACTAGAGCGTGTGTTAATGACTGCCTTTACACACGACGGGAGCAGTTGTGACATGTCGAGGAGCACATACCAGTGTTGATGGCAAAGTCGAGGACGTAGACCCAGATGACGGCAACAACAATGATCGAGACCTTGACTCCCTCCGAAGCCGGGTCTGCACCAAAGAGTCCAAGAAAGCCGCCCACGATCTCCTTGGTCCAGGCCAGAGCCATGAACGAAGCAACTGTCCCCAAGGTACCCGCGATCATGAAGGGCTTTCTCTTGCCCCATGAAATGCGACAATTATCGCTGAGCATACCGATATAGGGTTGAACGAGGGTGCCCGACAAGGGACCGGCAATCCAGACGAGAGCCATAAGCGACTTGCTCAGCCCGAGGGACAGCAGGTAGGGGGATCCATTGGATAGCTCGACAGACCACGCAACCTGGAGCCCGCCGATGCTGATGGTCAGCAGGATCAGGTACCAAACGCTCTTGGTCTTTTGGAACTCGTCTTCCTGATGATCCAGGCCGGAGTCACGGCCAATGAAGGCATCCCCTTCGTGACCGGGGGAAAGGAGGGGAGAGTGCTCGTTGTTATCGTCGTCGCCTTGACGGTGGCCATTTTGGGCGTCGTCTTTAGGTGTCCGGATTGGCGAGACCGTCTTCTTCCTGCCACTCTTTCCGGCGGGCTGGGTGTCTTCGACCGAAGGCCGGCCGCTCTCGGAAGACTGGGCTAACGGCGACGGCATGCGTATGAACAGTCCCTCGGGGGCTGTTTGGCGTGAGAAACCCGTGTGCGTTCCCACGAGTCGAGGAGGAGAGTTGCAAAGCCCAGACCTGGGTCGTTTTGAGCCGCGTGAGCCGGGTTCGAGCGGGACGGACAGCGGTTAGAGAATCGTCGTGTCGCGCAACGCGTGCAAGCGATGGCCCATGCCAGATATGAGTCGGTCGTCTTGGATGTCTTTACGAGACGGGATGGGAGTTTAAATGTTGCTACGGCGGGCTTGACAGGTCAGAGACGGTCGAATCATCACGCGGGCAAGTGAGAGGATGCCACGAGACTATGGACGATTGGATTGGCCTGGAGTCGCTACGATGTGCCCGAAGACGATCCGTTGGAGCAGATGCGAGGGGGGCCAGCCAGCAGCTCGGGCCAGGGCCGTTGCGTCATTCCTTGTAGCTCCCCATGCTACCAGTGCGGGAGAGGGACCAGCAAGTGACTACCCAGATTGAGTCTACGCTAAAAAAGCTACAAATGGGCTGCATGCCATCAGCTGCACAAGGCACCAGGTCTCAGGGGCTGACCACTGGGTTTCAGCGCTGGACGACCTCGAGATTTGATCCCGTTTGGCCTGCCAATGGGCTGTCTATCAGATGTGTTTGATCATGCAAATTCACTTGTGCAGGTAGATTTACTCGCCCCAGCAAAGGCTTTCTCGGCCTGGGGACCAGAGCTGCAAAAATCTATACAACACGCCCACCACCATATAGACCAGAAAATGAATTAAAAAAAGGGGAAGGGAGGGAAGAAGAAAGACAGATTAAGCACACTAAAGAATTGGGAGAGGAAAAAAAAAACTGAGTTGATTTTCCAGATTGAATCTGGAGCATCGGGAATTGAGCCCGATGCGGGGGTCGAACCCGCAACCTTGAGATTAAGCTTCAGAGGGGTTAGTATGCTTGTGTGCTGTTTCCTTCGCTGTAGTACTCACAGTCTCACGCTCTACCTGTGATGGGGGTTAGCAAGTGATTGATTAAATCGTAGGGGAAACTGGTCACTAACCGATTGAGCTAACCGGGCTTGTGACAATAATCCGCCAATACTAATATAAGAACCCATTTTCTTTGGAGCCTCCATTGAGAGCTGAGATTTAGTTGAGTAACCCAGCCACATAGCTAATTACCGTCAATCCTCAAGAATACATATCTCAATTCTTATCTTTTATTTGAACCCCAACCTTTGCCTTGCCAGGACGGCTGGTCGCTAGCATTGTCTCTACACACACCAGGCCTGCCTTCTGTGTCTTTTGGTCCTCTATTCTTCCAACACAATCTCCATCCCACATACGAAACCACAGCATCAGGATCTCGGGATGGCCTAGAATCTCCGACTACAGTGCCCAAGAGAAGCCGAAGTCCCTTAAACATCAAGGGTCAAAGACATCAAGCGAAAAGAACCCCCTGAGAAATTCTTATTTACAGAGCATTACTTCCAGCCTTTCAAACTTGTCAGCAACCCACGACATTGTGCGACCTACCACCAGGAACGAGCCAGGACTCCTAGGAAGTATCGAAGATGCCACTCTACGAAGACAAACGTGTCTGCACGAAGTGTGGCCGAGTGGGGGTTTGGCAATAGAACTGTCTAAACTGCCGCGAGTGCAAGTATTGCAAACAAAAAGATCATTTCATCACCAAATGTCCAAGGCTCAGTCCTTGTCCTCACTGTGGTATCAAGGGGCACAGGGCTGAGAAGTGTCGAAGGAAAATTGCGACGTCATCTCCTCCACAGAAAGATGGAAAATTGCCAACACCCTTCGGCCAGGTAGCCAAGGAGAAGAATGGCCCTGAGATAGAGAACCTGAGAGTCCGGTCACGACTCCACGATGATGAGAATTGGTATGGGCTACCGGAAGAGGTCAGAAATGTATGCACCACCATACTTCCAAAAGATTTCCGTAGACTAGCTATGGCTAACGAGACCTCGTAGGCAGTACCAGAGTCAAAGCCCTTTGTATTTCCCGACCTCGAGGCTATTTGTATCTCGACCTTGAGGGACATTGTCGCAGGCCGGTTGCCAGCATCACAGACCTACCCGTATGCGGCGAACATCCTATCTCATGGGGGTATCCAGCCCGTCGCCCTCGAGATCACAAGCTGCATCCTTCCAGAGATCCGAGCTCTTCAGGGGCGGACGGTTGATCGCGGCAACTTGGACAAGATTTGGGTGGCCCAAGCCAACCAGGGCCCATGGCACACCGCCAGCTCGGATATGGGCTACATCGATTTCGTTACCGACGATCGCGACGACAAATATTTCCGCCTGTATCACGGTCAAGCGAAATGTGCTTCCCGGCGGATTTTACGGGAGCACAATCAAGCCATCTTCTCGAGCGCCAACGATACACTGCATTATTATATTCTATGGGTGGGGAATGGCCACAGAGTAGCCAACTTCCTGAAGGCCTGGGCCTTGCCTCGGGAACACCGCGAAACACACGGTAAAGATTGGTCGGACATGATGATGACATTCTTGGAGTACGTCATCATCCGTGCCTTTCGTGCGCACCACGGCCTTCTCTACTACGGCGAGAGCGATGACAGTCCGCTCGGCTTCGGCTTGAACGTCATGAGCCCCCTAGTACAAGGCCGGGCAGTCTCGGACGTATTGAGGGCGGACTTCAAGGGGCCTCTGCTTCATTCTCCAGATCTTCAGATAGCATTCTGGCCCAAATTCCGCTCGTCTCAGACAGCCTCGGCCAACGGTCTTGGGCGCTCGGCTCCTCGGCCGCTTTTCCGTCTCGATTTCTCAGCTGCGTTATCAAAGGCCGTCAACAACGACGAGCTATATCAATTGCTCCTGGACGCCTTCACCGCGGATTTGGCGCTGCCCAGGCCTACGATCAACGATATTCCTTTCTTCGGCAACCTTGGTGCCAAAATCGGCTTCTTACTAGATATTGTAAGGATATCTCCTGTTGTTGATGGTTGCCCAGCCGAGTCTTCAGAGGACGATCTGCCATGGGCGCTCAAAGGATGCCAGTTCAAGAAGGACAACGTTCTCGTCTGGACATTCGATTTCAAGAAGCTCTCTGGTCTAGGATCCGAGAACTGCGCCGAGGTCGACGAGCCCAGGAACACAGAACTGTTGGCCAAGCACTCGGCACTTGTTGGCGCAAGCCACGCAAAGGTCATTTTGGTCTGCGGCCCTCGTGCAGAAAATATTGTTCGGCATCTTCCTCGAGTCTCGAGGCAGAAAGATCTTGAACTTCGCGGTTTCAAGTATCCCTTGTACGTCATGGACACTGGCCCTCTCGCAAAACGACTCTTTGTCCGCTGTCCTAAGATTCCGGCGGACAGGCGGTCCATGATGAACACGATGGCCTGTCGTCTTTGTGAGGCTCTCCGATTTGCCATCAGCATCGTCGATATCCGGGATATAAGGCCCTATTTTCTGGAGTCATCCTCTATCCTAGGCCATATCCTTAGCATTGCTAAAAACGAGAAGGCCGGAACCGCGGCTCCACTCACGACTAGCACATTAGATGGCGCGCTCAAGGTTTGGCTGGCCCGCAAGGGCTTTGAGAAAGAAGAAGATATTCGGAGACTCGAGCAACTCGCAGGGTCGTTATCCGCGGGACTGTTGATACTCCTTCACACTCTGCCGAGACGACAAGGAGATACCGCAGCAAATCCAGATCGTGCTACAACCAACTTGAAAAGGAAGCGAACGGAATCACAGCCGTTCGGCAATGTCTACGAGCCGACCAGGGACTTCATATCGGGTATTCTCGCCCAGCGAGAAGCCAAGTACCACGAAGTCTTGAAATCGCTGGCAGATTCGCCCGGACCCAAGAGCGATTCTATTGACATGGAGATTGCTGGACTTTCTGGTTCCGAAACCGAGTTTGGAACGGCAGTTGACAGCGACATGTACGAGCCGTTAGCTGACGCACTCAGCTTTGAAGATTTCAAGGTCCTCCGTGGTCTCACACACACAGCAAGCGGCCGTTTTGTCGGCGATGGATTATTGCCGTCAAAGAAAAAACCAGACCACAAACCTGTAGGTTGGTGGTCCAATTTCCGAGAAGAGGAATACCACTACGAGCTGCGGCCTACCGAGCCTCTCTCCGGTCCCAGCATCCTAGATTGTAGGATTGTCATACCAACCGAGGTGATGAGTGGATGCGATGAAGTATTCGTCAAAATTGAGATTGTCGCCGAAGGCTGCAGTCACGAAAATATGTATGCCACGAAGGCGCAGTTGGAGGATCCTGCTCGGCGCCTTGCTTTTCGGTGCAGGTTGAAGCAAGGTTTCTATTACCCTAGAGTTGATTCCATAGCGTCTCTGTTCAGGGCGAATACGGCAGTCGATGTCATGGAAGGAAAACCTCGGGCCCAGATCAATAGCACATCCAGGAGATTTGGGTCTGAGACCGTGAACGTGGATGGAGGCCAAAGGCGGAGAAGAAGGAGGTGGTATACATCCTGACCAGGACGTGGAGATGAGACGCTGGCGAGGTTCCATATCAGAAAATTGGTGCTAAGGGCTGTACGGTCATGACCTTATCCCGGTCGCTAGATCACGATACAACATGACTTATTCATGGTTCCAATTGCAAGATCCCACCTAGTGCTGCCTGGTAGCTGAATGTAATTTTTGATGACAGGATAAGTAGGAGACTGAAGCGACAAGCAAGACCTATTGCCCATGGGCTGTCCCACGAGTCAGTACTTCCTACAACAAGAAGAGTACTAGCATACCTAGGTACTCCGATGCCTTGGAATGATTGACGGCCTTCTTTGGCATACTCCGTATGTGGCGGAGTGTAGGCGGCGATCAGAAGGTATGCTATCATTTGTACAGGCTACTTAAGCTAAACTCTGCCCCATCAGAGGCAACCTTCGCCCGGTTAGCTCAATCGGTTAGTCCCCAGTTTCCCTTGGTGAATTAAATAATCACCTACTAACTCCTACTAGGTAGAGCGTGAGACTGTGAGTACTGACCATAAAATTCGGTCGCTTCAGCAACCCAACTAACCCCTCTGAAGCTTAATCTCAAGGTTGCGGGTTCGACCCCCGCATCGGGCTCAATTCCCGATGCTCCAGATCCAATCTGGAAAGTCAACTCATTTTTTTCTTTTTCTTTTTTGCTTTTTTGGACATCACCTGCCTCCTAAGGAGAACAAATTCTGTCATCCTATCCCATCGTGCTGATTTTCCCCCCTTCTTCTTTTAATCCTCCAAAGCAATATGTAATTCCAAAGTGATGCAAGGCTATAACAATGATCAGAGAGAGGTGTGCATACGTAATGTAGTTCACCAATCACTGTAAAATCACACCCACTATCTCTTGCAACTTGGACGCCAAGCCGACTAGGCTGCTACCTGGGGAGCTGACCTTTAGCGGAGTCAGCTACCAACTCCCTGCAGCTGTGCACCTCCCTCCTTGTAGCCTACTCCGTACTGGGTATCTTCTGGCTCCATCGGCGTGCGCATGCTTCTGCGCCTCTATGGTTCAGGATAGTTGGCGTCTTTTTTCGCGACTTTGACAGCTTTCATTCATCCCCGTCCTTTACATAGACACATCGGTCCACCACCAAGAGGTTTTGAAAGGAGAACCTACACCCTCTTGCCCGCTCCCCGGTGGAACTTGGATGTTCATGTTTCCCCGAATTCCTTACGGTCGCTCTGCTGAGCAACTGCGTCATCACCAATCCATACCTTGAGCGAGCACCTGCCCCCCAGCCGTCCTCCCTCCCACCGCCCTCCATGCTCTCCAATATCGCTGGCTCCGCATTGGAGCTCGCCAGTACGCTCGCCACCTCTTCCCCAATGCGCTCCATGGGTCAAACCGCTAATCACAGGTTGTAGGGAGAGCCGCCGAGGAGACTGAACCCGATGGAGGTAGGGAAATCTCCGCGGCCTTGCACACGAGACACGGAGCGAGCTGACCTGCTGCTACAGAGCCGGATTCTTCCAAGAAGGAGATCTATGCATCATGGGCCATCTTTATCCTCATTATGCTGCTGATAGTGGCTTTCTTCACAAGTTACACCTTGCAGCAGAGAAAGGTCACCGCGGTACACGAGACGGTCATCTCGATCTTTGCAGGTCAGTCTCTCAGACCCTCCGTCCCCAAATACAACAGAGTCCTCGACTGACTGAGAGGATCCAGGCATGATCGTTGGTTTGATTCTCCGAGTAAGCGCCGGCGACAGCATCCGAGACCTCGTGAGCTTCGACTACCAGATATTTTTCAACCTCCTTCTTCCGCCCATCATTCTATCTTCTGGCTACGAATTGCACCAAGCGAACTTCTTCCGCAACATAGGAACAATCCTCACGTTTGCGTTTGCTGGCACCTTCCTGTCTGCGGTAGTGATCGGCGTTATCCTCTGGCTGTACACACGAGTCCCCTTGGAGGGACTCAGCATGAACTGGATTGATGCCATCTCCGTGGGCGCGACTCTGTCGGCAACAGATCCGGTGACGATCCTAGCCATCTTCAACTCGTACAAGGTCGACCCGAAGCTATACACCATCATCTTTGGCGAGTCGATCCTCAATGACGCCATCGCCATTGTCATCTTTGAGTCGGCGCAAAAGTCCAAGCACGGCGCAGCGACCTCTCCTGGCATCGTCAGCTTGCTCAAGGGTATCGGTATCTTCTTGAAGGATTTCTTCGGAAGTTTGGTCATCGGAGCCCTGGTGGGCATAGTGGCTGCGCTGGGCTTGAAATATACCTACGTGCGGAGATACCCCAAGATTGAAAGCTGCGTCATCGTCTTGATCGCCTACGCGACCTACTTCTTCTCTCAAGCGGTGCAGATGTCAGGTCAGTCTCTAGATTCACGCTTCGTGAGGCCAAACCCCTCCATATACTAACAAATCATGTGCGGATAGGTATCGTGTCGCTGCTGTTCTGCGGAATAACGCTCAAGCATTATGCATACTTCAACATGTCGAGGAGGACCCAGCTTACAACCAAGTACTTCTTCCAAGTCCTCGCTCAACTCTCGGAGAACTTCATCTTCATCTACCTTGGACTTTCGCTCTTCACCGAGAAGGACTTGCAGTATCAGCCCCTGCTGATTATTGTTACCGTCATCGCGGTATGCGCCGCCCGGTGGGTTGCGGTGTTCCCACTGTCCAAGGCCATCAATTGGTTCATCCATTACCGCGCACGCCGCAGAGGCATCACAAACTCTGTCGATGAGCTGCCATACAACTACCAAGCCATGCTGTTCTGGGCAGGTCTCCGCGGTGCCGTCGGCGTCGCCCTGGCTGCGCTCCTGACCGGAAAGGATCAGTATGCGCTGAAGGCGACTGTGCTGGTCGTTGTGGTGTTGACAGTCATCATTTTCGGCGGTACCACAGCCCGCATGCTGGAGATTCTGGGCATCCGGACCGGCGTCGTCGACGAGATTGATTCGGACGACGAGTTCGATATCGAAACCGTCGGCTCGGGCGGCTTCATGAAGCGGTCAGGAAACGGCATCGGATACAACCCACGGCGTAGCGGCGCCATCCTGCCGCTCGACCGTGTGGACAGCCAAGGCAATCTGAAGCGCAAGGACAGGGCGGCTCGTAGCGGATGGACCTCGGGCCACCACTCACCGAACCCGCTGACCCGGACCTCGAGCCAGAATAGAAAGGGCTCCAACTCGGACGATCCGGAGAGGGCAGACCTCCTGGGCCAGCCCACGAGCGCGACCGACTCCGATTTCGGTAGCGACATTGACACCTCTGATCTCCCTCCCCCCGCGCCCAGGAGCAGGACCAGCCCCATGCCTTCGGGCGCCATGGACGGAAGCGGCGGAGAGAGCAGCCGGACCAGGTCCAACACCGAGGGAGGAGGAGGGCAAGGTATCACGGCCACTGCGGCCATCCGTCAGCTGTTCAGCACGGAGGATCCCAGTGCCCTGTTCAGGCAGCTGGACGAGGACTATATCAAGCCGAAGCTGCTACTGGACGGCGGCAACGGTCGGGGCAATGGCAACGGTGGGCCGAGCTGAACATGTCACTCGGTGCGAAAGTGAAGGGGGGGGGGTATTTGACGGGGAGTTGTTTCATTTCTGGGACATTCTGCATTGCTAGCAGTCTTGCATTTGGCGTTGGGGGAGCATTCTATCATACCTGTTATATCTGTGTGTGTAACCGTATGTACGTAAAGGGGAATGGAATGTGGTTAACGAGTAACGACACCCGAGCAGCAAATATACCTGTTGCAATCAAAATGAGAACATTGTTCTATACCAATCGCGACTGGCATTATGAGAGACTTGACTTGGATCTTTGTCAATTACTTGCATGCAGTAACCATGCTCTATCCCCATCACAGGGTTACCATTTCCATCACAGTATCAGTTCATATCCCTTTTGACATTCCGAAGCACCAGGGCATGTCCTCCTGCCTGGGTGCCGTACCAGTGTAGTGTGATCTACCAATCCCACAGTTGCAAAAGCCTACCGATGAGTACAGTACAGTATGCAACGCTACCAAATGCCCTCGGATGTATGCTCAATCGTAGCCACTCCTACTACACATACATGACATGAACAAAAGTGCGAAGAGACCACGGCCTCCGAATTCTCCTCCCATTTTCAAGCTCGCCCCCCCCCCCCCCCCCCCCCCCCCCCCCCCCCCCCCCCCCCCCCCCCCCCCCCCCCCCCCCCC